GGTTTGTTTACTAAGTGCAAAACTCTAAAGGACAGATACTATGGCCTTTTAGTTCTATACTCTAAATGTTTACAATAGTGACTGGTTCATATAAGACTATAAAGTTATTAAAGGAATACATATAAACTCGTTCTTTGCTGTGACTTATTATATTGATGGAAATATTTTATGTTCCTTTACCTTCATCTAAATAGGAAACACATTTTACCTTTCTGAAGGGGTGGTGGGGGCAGTCTGTCTTTTATGTACCCAATGGACTTTTGAATTGTTACCTTAGTCCTTAGAATTCATTTTGTTTTTCTTTGGTAGACATAATTTGGGACTACATTTCTGAAACCAAGTAAAAAACTTAAAAGTATAAATGAGAATTAGGAAGTAAAGTCTTACTTGGTAATTATGCTATCTCCCTTCTTGGGTTTTGTTTCTGGGTATTTTTCCCCCATTATTCTACTGGTAACACATTATTAAAATACTCTGGCACAAAATAATGATAAATTTTCCTAACAGAATTTAATCTACCAATTACAATGGTTTCTTTTTAAAACTTGTATATGTTTTATAAATAGTTCTGTTGCATAAAAATTAGATAAAATTTACATTAATCTATCCAGAAAATTAACAGCAACAGGTAAAACTTAATGACTTCTTTCTGTATACCTTGATCAGTACTGATTATATGCATTATTCCATGTACTCTCACAAAAGTTCCATTAGGTTGGTAGTTTTATCATCCATTCCCTCTCTTTTTAGAAGATAAGAAAATTAGCAACTAAAGGAGTAAGGTAATCTACTACATTTGTGCTATTAGGAAGTGGTAAAGTCATGACTAAAAGCCATACGATGCCAAAGCTGATGATCTTGACCACAGTGTAACACTGTCTCTAGCTGTGCCTGTTTAGAAGACTCAAGAAAATTAATCCCTTGGAAAAAGCTTTCAAATACATATATACAACTATGTTAGAAATAAATCTGCAAAGTCTTAAAATACCAGTACAAACCCCAGCAGTCCAGCAACTAAGAGAAAGGATGGACAAATGGGAATTTATAAAATTAAAAAGCTTCTGCACAACAAAAGAAATGGTCTCTAAACTGAAGAGACCACCCACAGAGTGGGAGAAAATATTTGCCAGCTATACATCAGACAAGGGACTGATAACCAGAATATACAGGGAACTTACGAAACTAAACTCTCCTAAAATCAATGAACCAATTAAGAAATGGGCAACTGAACTAAACAGAACTTTCTCAAAAGAAGAAATTCAAATGGCAAAAAAGGACATGAAAAAATGCTCACCATCTCTGGCCATAAAGGAAATGCAAATCAAAACCACACTAAGATTCTACCTCACCCGTTATAATAGCCATCATCAAAAATACCACCAACAGCATGTGTTAGCAAGGATGTGGGGAAAAAGGAACCTTAATCCACTGCTGGTGGGAATGCAAGCTGGTACAACCACTCTGGAAAAAAATGTGGAGACTTCTTAAAAATCTAAACATAAACCTGCCATATGATCCAGCAATCCCACTCCTGGAGATATACCCAAAGGAATGCAACACAGGTTACTCCAGAGGCACCTGCACACCCATGTTTATTGCAGCGCTATTCACAATAGCCAAGTTATGGAAACAACCAAGATGCCCCACTATTGATGAATGGATCAAGAAAATGTGGTACTTGCATACAATGTAATTTTACTCAGCCATGAAGAATGAAATCTTATCATTTGCAGGTAAACGGATGGAACTCGAGAACATCATTCTAAGCGAGGTAAGCCAGGCTCAGAAGACCAAAAGTAGTAATATGCAGACTTTAAATCTAGGGCAAATGCAGCAATTTGGTTGGACTTGGATCACATGACAAGGGGAGAGCACATATGGGAGATATAGGAATAGGTAGAAAATCCAAAACATGAAAGCGTTTGATGTCCCCACTCCACAGGAGCTAATACAGAAACCTTAAAGCTACAGAGGTTATCATGAGAAGGGGATCAGTAACCAGGTTAAAGATCAGTTAGAGATGAATCAACATGGGTCACAACACGGGTACACAAAAGCAATGCTAGGAATATCTCTGGATAGCTATCCTTAACTCAACTAGCAAAAAACACTTTGTCTTCCTTATTATGCTTGTCTATTTTCTTCAACAAAACTAGTGATAAAGGCAGAACAGGACCTGCCTGGAACTGAGGGGGGAAGAGGGGAGATGGTGGGGGAAAGGGGCAGGAGGAAGAAATGACCCAAACAATGTATGCACATGTGAATAAATGAATAAAAATAAATAAATAAAATACCAGTACATAAAAAGGAAATATTAGTTGGTCCGTTACTGAATCATTCTTCCAATAAACAGTAACATGTATTCTCTCACATTAAGCTTTTACTGGTCAATCACGATCTACTATCCTAAAGTTTTATCCTATCAATCTTCAAAATTGATTTTGAAAGCATTAGTACCTACTAATTGAGTGAGAAAGCCCCAGCACCCATTTCAAATTTATGAGGTAGGAGGATTAATGACCATATATGTACTCTACTACCACTTGAAGTGGTAATCATAAAAATAGAAGGGAATTATCTCTGAAGTGTTCTTACCTTTGCATTTCCTATTGTAACACTTTAGAAACTTTAACTGTAAATCACCAGTACAAAATTAAAAATAAGATTGAGTTTGGAGCAATTAACAAATTATATCACATACTTGAAACAAAGATATCTTTTAGACTCCTAGTAAGACCATTTAAAACATTACACCATTAATTTTCTTCCTTTTATTTATTTGCCTTCAACTAAAGGAAACAATCAGAAAGTAGTTTCTTCTTCACATATCATTCTTGTTCCCCAAACCAAACGCCCTTAGAGTATGAATTAAATATCTAAAAAAGGACTGCAAATTTTTCTGCACAAGATCAGATAAATATTTTAGGTTTTGTAGGGTCATATGATCTCTGTCATAACTACTCTGCCATTCAAGTGGGAAAGAACCTACAGAGATTAATCAACTTAGTGCCTAAGTCTCCAAATTTTATTTACAAGAACAAGTAGTAGGCTAGATTGACCCAGAGGCAGTAGTTTGCTAACCCCTGGTTCAAAGCGTTCTTCCAACTCTGTACCCACCATTCTACTAAATTCACGAGTTAACAACAAGCACATTTCAATGCAATTTTCTTCAAAAACCTCGAAGAGATTATGCATCAAATTCTTATCAAAACACACAATGTTTCATAAAGTATGTTTACAATCCATATCATTTTTAAGGAAAAAATCTCTACAAGGTACTTTACTAACAGTATTTTTTATAATCTCAGTGCAATGTATAGCTTTAAAGTCACCAAAATGAAGTGCAAATGCAATGTAATGCCTTTTTCATTATTTCAATTTATTACTGCTTTTGAAAGAATGTTTTTTAATTTTATTTTTTTATTGTATTATTATTGTACTGGGGGTACACTGTGACATTTACATAACTGTCTATAATATATCTTAGTTAAATTCATTCCCTCCATCATTCTCCTTTGTCCTCCTTTCCCCCATTCCTGAGAGCATTCAACAGGTCTCATTTTTCCATTTTCATATACAAGTACATAATATTTCAACCATATTCACCCTCCTACACCTTTCCTTATGTACTTCCCATTCTCACTAATACCAATCCCCAGACAGGACCTGTTTTACCTTCCTGCCTGTTTTTGAAAAAAGACATTTTGGTTTTTTAAGGTAGCTACACAGGCAGTTTTATTATGACATTTCCATGTATATATGTACTATATCCCAAAGTTAGGTTTTGAGAGTTGAATTTCAACATTATTAGTACATTAAACTTAAGTGGCTAAGTTAATTTTCAATTACTGTTTGAGAGCAAATTACCAGTGTAGATACATCAAGCACTTCAGCAAATACAGAAGTGCCTGTTCTCTACTCTGAAAATAATGACCTGTGAGAAAGTTTAGGAAATTTCATTTATTTTGTTTCATAGAGAACAATGGAAATAAAACAGATGGCAAAAGGGGAAAATGGAGGAAATGCTCTACAAATGGCTGACGGATGAGGGCCAACAATAAAGTGTATATAAACTTTTTTCCCATATTCTTCAATTTAGCTGTTTTACAGATGACTGGATATATACATAGGAGATGTAAGTAGAAATAGATCTGTTTATAAGCGAATTACTAAAAGAGGAATCTAGAATCATAATGATTATAAAATTTGCAGCTGCTCTTTTCAAAGACAGAAATATAAATTTCTATTAACTCATATTTCTCATTTTCTTATTTCAAAGGCATTTAAGGACTATATGAATGCACACAGACTTTCAGTCCACAGGGTAATGTTAAATATAACCATAGTAGTATCATAAATATTACCCTTAATGGATATAATAAACCACCTGAAAATAAAATGAAATAATCTAAAAGTGATTTTCTCATTTAAAATGAGGCTGGACAACTGCTGTTCTCCAACATGTTAAAAAGAAAGAAGAAGTAAATCTAAAGAGATTCTTTTAAAACATCAGACATTTTAAAGAAGGAGGTGTTTTTAAAGTAATAAAATTCTAAGCAAAGACAGTTTAATATGCTCAAAATTTCTCATATCATTTTTCTATTACTATTTACTATTTAAAGGGAATTTTTTCCAGGCTAGCAAGTTGTTTTCTACAGATAATACAAAATGATACATATAACTATCTTCAAGGATTTACTTAACTCATTGAGTGCATACCTCCTACTACTATAAGATGTCAATCTGCCTATTTGATACAATGTTGAGAAATGGAGGCCCATAATATAACTGTGACTATACACTATAACATGTCTTTTAGGAACTTATCAAACTTGGATTAAGTCCAAATTTAAGTAAAATCTTCTTCAGTAGTATGTTAAATAAAGTACCTAAATTTTCAGTTTTCCATTAAAAAAAAGTTTTTATTTCAAGATCACCTATATGCAATATTTCTTCAATTCCATCTATGAACAAAGATACTTACAGTACAAAATACTTACAGTAAATATCCGTCTGCCAGTTCGATCAAAAGTCACACAGTACACAGATGACAAGTGTCCAAGAATTCGCTTATGCATCTTCATATGCTGATATACTGCAGTTGGAACAAGTCGTTCAAGTCTGTATTTCCCATTCAGCTTCCTTGAAAACAGAGTATCGGCTACCAAAGAAACAGGAATATAAATGTAACTCAAATATAAATGTTCTTAAATTATCAGTTTTTAAGAAACTTCAATTTGCACAATTTGGTAAAAATACAGATACCTTATAATATATATTTGGCTCCTAGTTAAGTCTTCAAAATAGTCAATGGCTTATTTACTTAAGTTGGCACTATTCTCATTTTAAAAATAATTGAATGCTGTTAAATGACCTGTTTATAGTCACAGAGTAAGGCATGAAGCTAGGATTAAAACCTGCACTTCTTTACTCTGGCTAGAGCTCTTTAAAAATGAAAGTGTTACATATTATTTCTTTATAAGCCCACAGGAAATAGTTATTCTTTAAAAAGTAGTTAAAACTGGAATCTAGATTTTTATTTTCATCAACTAGTAATACCTGAACACTCTAAATATGACTCAGAGAATGATGTTTAAAAAATATTTGCAGGAAATTAGTCACTTGCATTATTTAAAAAGAGTAATTAAACTAGAGATCTTCCCAGACTATATGATTCTTTCTCTAGAACTTATTAGATCCTGCTTTTCAATTCATTCATTCAAACCATCCAAGTTGATGGAAGTTTGTCTTCTACCTTAAAAACTAATGTACTGATTTCCAACACATAATATTCTTTCAACTAAATTACTGTATGTATTTTCTAAACTGATAACTTACAAAGAAGGTGCTCAAAAATATAGGTTGACTATTATAAGGCACATTATTAACCTATAGATTATCTTTTAATAGAGTGCCATTTTCCCCAACCAAGATGCATCTACATTGGATAGTTAGCACTACACTTTCTCGTCTGAATTTAGTCCAAAAGAAAATTAGGTATACGTAAACAATATTATTTAACCCAGGTTGAAAGCCAAGTAATTATACACTAAAGTTGATGAAACATAAATACTTCAGGTGTACTATAAAGAATCTCAGTATTATTTTTCACATCCAATAAACGCTAGGCTCACAAACCATTTGTAAGCTAAAATAAAATTTAAGAAAATCTTCAGGTATGGTGAGAATATATGAAAATGGATGCTTTCCAAGTTCTAAAGTAACAATAGTTCAAATAAAAATTATATTATGCTTATATGTTCTTCATTTTATATTCTAACAGAGTATTTCTCTTGCTGTTAGCATATGAACTCTATATAAAAGTCTATGCTAATACCTGGGAATGTCTAAGACTAGGTTTCACAATTGTAAATTTGCATACTTAGTTTTAACTTTTTTATACAATAACCAGCTTATTTTCTATAAGAAAATAAATGACATATTACACAAACATTGAAAGCATTACCAAGTTGTACTTTAATTACCTCTATCTAAAATTTATAAAATTCTCAAAACGTCAAATTTTATGAAATTGTAGCACTATTGAGGTATGAAAATACAATGGCTGGAGATAATTAAAACTATTATTTCACAATGATTAAGCACTAACATATCTACCAAAAAATCTTTAGATGAATCTGTTACAAAAACCATTTAAAAATCAGAGATGCTAAAAATACACCCTTTAGACATAAAAAAAAGTTACTGCTGTCTTAAACATGGGTTTTACTAAAGCTAAAGTAGAATTAAATCTCTATTTTGGGGATCAATTAAAAAAAAACAACTCTACAGTCTCAAAAACTCTCTTTATAGGCAACTATGTGAAACTTTCAACAAACACAAGTGAAATATATTTATAGTTATAATATATTTCATACCCTTTATAATGCTTAGCTACCAAATAGTTCTTGAATTATCTATAGTATGACTCCATCCTAAAGAAGACAACACCTTCTTTTCAATCTATGTGCAAACTTGTGCTCAGGCACAAGAGATATGACATAGTAAGAGAATAATATGTAGAGTTCCAAAGTAGTAAGTTGATGGTTAAACTTTATAACTACTGGAGAGAGAGAAGAAAATGTATGGATGGTCAGTATTTGAAGTTCAACCAAGGAGGCTGAATCTGAGAAAAGCCTGACTACATCAAAAGTTGTTTTACAAAGACAGAAGAATCTAGGACTCACATTCAATGAACTCACATTTCCTTTTATTATATGCCATAATCTATTCTCACCACTAGACCTTAACTACTTTATTAAAGAACAGAAATTCTCTTGTATTTTATTCACAATGGAATGCAGAGCCTCATAAACAAAAAAGTACATGAAGCTTAGTTAATAAGATATACAAGATGGTTCAATTTAATTTCTGGTTTTATTCATTTATAATAATAACGACAGAATAATTGGATTTTTGAATAAAAAGGAAATGTCTCATTTATTATAGAAATTCCTTGAATTTTATTACAATAGAACATCACTTTTTAAAATGAGCATGGTTAAACAGACATAAGACACAAAAAGGAAAAGGTTCTTTTTATGATGCTATTTTTAGTTTTGACCTTAAATTAAGTACCATGTATAACTTTGGTTAGAAAATACATTTATTTCCCTAAATATAAGGGGGAATAGCTTTAAATAAGGCCTATCAAAGCAATGACAAATCTTTTTCACTTAGCAAATTCTTTCTTATCCTCCAGGAGCGGGAAGACACCTTCTCTAGGAAAACCATGGTAAACTTCAAATGCATCCTAATTTGTTGCAATCGATCATCACTATTCTGCTCAAAAGTAAGAATGCTATTCATTTCATTCAGAATAAACACCAAACTTTAGACATTAATCTACATGGCCCTTAATAAACTTGTCTGCCATTACCTCTCTGATCTACTTCTTCTTTTGGTCTGTTCTGGCCACCCTATACTGAACGCTTTTAAGTCTTTTCTCAGATGTCCATTACCTTCTCAAATTTGCCTAAATGGATCAGGCATTGAAACCTGTCATCCACTCTCTACCAACACATGTAACTCCTGATACCCCTTTATGTAGCTCTGTATTTGTTCTTTATCCATTATTGCCTGATACTATACATTTACTGCTTATGCACCATGTTTGTTTATTATTAACTGCCTCCTCCTACTACAACACTAACTCTGTAAGGCAGGATTTTGTTGTTTTATTTTGTACTTTGATTTGCCTTAGCTTAAAGTTATGGCTGGCATTTAGTAAATAAATATAATTTGGGGAGCTAACAAATAAATTATGTAGCAATAAAGCAACTAGGTTTAGGGGAAAAAAACCAAAGTAAAAATATCTTTTTCTGCTAGATTAAAAGACCCAAAACATATCTAAATAGTACTTCAAGTATTCTGCTAAAAAGATTCAAGTTGTGAGAGAGCAAAATATATTTACTTAACTTTATGAAAATATATCAGTAGCTGAAATAAAAATTCCGTAAATTTGAAGTAACAATCTCTTTAAGTCTGAAGTGAAAACAGAGCAAAATAGTGAAAAATGTCATTTGTAGGAAATCATCCAGAACAGTCTTTTACACGGATTCTGCATGTACAAGCCTACAGAACTAATTACTACAAGCCAACAAAAGGCCCAAAATGTAATGTAGTTACCTATATAACTTCATTCATATCTAGGTGGTAGGTTCACATCCATCACTTCTCTAGGCAGTAATATGATAAACTACCCCACAACTCACTTCTTACAACTAATGGATACTCAATTTAGAAAATAAGACTATTCATGAAAGAAGTATAAGGCACAGTTCTACCTCCCAAAGCAATCATTTCATAAATTTTGCAAAGATTGTTTTTTCTCATAAACAGCATTTTAATAGGTATACTGTATTCCTTAGTAAATGGACAGGCTTTAAATAAGATCAATTTATATTCAAATCTGCATGTAGAGACTTTAAGTAAGTTATTCTTTCAAACTTCTATTTATTCAGTTACACCATCAGAGAAACATTTCTATTTTCCTCAGCATACATAGCTTCATATTATGCAGTTCTTTGATATCTCGCAATTTCTCAAATTTTACATAATCATTTCATCAATTTTTCCTTTCTTTTGTGATTTTTGTTTCAATATGAAGAGTCCTATTGAGACAGTAGTACAATAAATGTCTACTTTTGCTTTCTTTCACTTTTTATGGTTTAAATTTCTCATTTAACCTTTTAATGTATCTGCAATTTAAATGCACATTATGAGGTGAGTCTCTGAAGGTATTTTTTTCCTCTCTAAACAATCAATCATTTTTTTCCAGGCTTTCAACTTTACTTCTCTTTTCTATTAAATTGTGATTATTTTATATATATTTAGATGCTACATAATAAATATGCTTTTATATGCCATCACCAAAATCATTTAATTTTAATAGTTATTTGAACTCTTCATTATGAGTCCACTTAAAAATGTCTTATTCTTGATCCCTTATTAACTAATTTTTAAGATAACTAAAATCTCTTATTTGCTGATAAACAACTGACATCTTTCTACTGAGTTCCTACAGTTAGGCCCAGACTTCAGAAAAAGATAAACATAATCAAAGTCACCTCAGTTCTCTTACACAAGTTCACTCAAGAAAAAAAAAAAAAAAAAAACCCATGGGTAACTACCATGAAAAAACATCTGCAGTAACATTAGTAACTACATTTTTTTGAGAATGGCAGAAAAATACATGCTAAAAATTAGCAAATGCTAAAGCAGAAATACAAATACCATCTCCCTCCAAAATGTTTAGAGACCTCTTCCTCCTTCTGCAACGTACATTATGGACAAGCACATGGGTCAAACTATAAGAAACTACCCAAGATCAAAATTAACCATAAATTTTAAAAGACCATTTGTAAAAAATTAAAATTAAGCCAAGCACAGACGCTCACACAAGAAGATCATAGTTTAAGAATAACCTGGGAAAACAGTTCACAACACCCCACCTCAACCAATAAAAAGTTAGATATGGCAGCACATGCCAGTCGCCCCAGCTACACAGAAAACATAAACAGGAGAATTGTAGCCAGGAGCATGGATCACGCCTGTAATCCTAGCTACTGAGGAGGCAGAGATAAAAAGGATCACAGTCCAGGCTGGCCTGGGCATAAAGCAAAACCCTACCTCAAAAATAACCAATGCAAAAAAGGATGG